CTCTCTGTAAAACAGATTGCTTCCATTTTGCCATTATTCTCTTACAATACAAGGGTGCTATTCACTAGGGAGCTCGGGCATAATGCTTTATTTTTTCCTGAACAAAATAGCCTACAAGGAGAAATATGTGGGAAATTTAGTACTGGGGACATAGTATTATTGCCCCTCTGACCAGAAGGAAGTGTTGTAGCAACACATGACTCCTTCAATTAGCCCACATACAGAGGAGGAAAATGCATGTTCTGGTCATCTATATATTGATCTTCCCTAGGTAAGAAGCTGCACCACTTACAAAGTGGCCATGGGTTTCTTGTGGCTGTCTCCTGCTTCCTGCTCCATGCATAAACCAAAAGCAGCAGCAGCAGCAGCAGCAACAGCAGCTTGGTCCCCTGGGATTGGAGGAAGAGAAACTATGTCATTCCCATTCATCTTCCTTACACCTGCCTAGCCAGTCCCAACAGCTGCAATCTGGATGGTGCTGTTGGCTGCTCCAAGCCCCTTAAGGACCAGGCATGGCAAACACACCACAGTAGTGACAATGTGGTTGGCAGCCCCTGAGAGGCAGCAGCGGCAGCAGCAGCAGTGGCAGCGTCATTCAGAATGCAGTGGATGTCCTCAGCCATCTCACAAATGGTGCTAGTGACTGGACAGCCCAGTTCCATACTTTGGCACTGCACCAATTCTCTCTCCCGCCCTCTGTGTTCACATTTAACTATTTCTTCCTGTATAATTTCTTGTTAGCTTTTGGGGAAAGTTATAGGCTAGGCTGGGTGAGATGGTGTGCTGTTTATATAAATGCGTAATAATACAAAGCAATACAATTTGCAAATGAATAAAAGAAAAATGCATACTTTGCCAGTAAAACCTACATCTGATAAGGGGTGGCCTTGTCTGAGTGATCTCTCTTCAAAACGGATGCCTGGTTAAAATCCAGATATGCTTGCATTTTAATCAACAAGGAGAGCTAAGTCATAATTTTCAAAAGGATACAGCAAGCCTGTACCAAAACTCAACTCTCTAATTTAATCAACTTCCTTTAAAGCACTGTTCTGTATTAATAAAACAACAAGATAGGAGCTTTGCTGATTCATGAGCATCTACATGCTGATGCTTGAACTGCAGGCCTGATGCTTCATTTTGACCTTAAAAACATGTTTTTATTGAAGACGTGACAGCTTCCAAAGAACTGCTAAGTGCCTTCTTCCTCAGGACATGCCCACACTGGAGTTCCTTGCCTTTCCAACATTATTTCTGCAGGCCACAACCTGAAGTGTTGGGGGAGTTGAATCAGAAAGCACTGCACAGGGTGTTGTTCTACCCTGGGAGCTCCTGCTAACCACAATGGTGCTACAAGCCACAAACACATCACCCCAAATCTGCCATTTGGAGGATAAGAGACAATTTGCCGCGTGTGTGTTTGTCACAGCAGAGGTGCAGCGCTGCTTGCAAGGACAAGATAATTGAAAATAGCCTTATGCAGACATGTCTTTATAGAGGAGAGCTTAAAAAGGTAAAGGTAAAGGTACCCCTGCCCGTACGGGCCAGTCTTGCCAGACTCTGGGGTTGTGCGCCCATCTCACTCAAGAGGCCGGGGGCCAGCGCTGTCCGGAGACACTTCTGGGTCACGTGGCCAGCGTGACAAAGCTGCATCTGGTGAGCCAGAGCCGCACACGGAAACGCCGTTTACCTTCCCGCTAGTAAGCGGTCCCTATTTATCTACTTGCACCCAGGAGTGCTTTCGAACTGCTAGGTTGGCAGGCGCTGGGACCGAGCAACGGGAGCGCACCCCGCCGCGGGGATTCGAACCGCCAACCTTTCGATCGGCAAGTCCTAGTTGCTGAGGCTTTAACCCACAGCGCCACCCGCGTCCCCTAGAGGAGAGCTTAGCTCCAGGCAAATAAACTTCTGCAGGAGATAATGGCATGGTTCTGCTTCACACATTAGGACAGGGAGGGGAGTGTGTCACAGCTGCTGGCTCTGCTGCCAACCTGTGTGTCCTGACCTTGCATGAAGCCAATCCGTTCAATGAGGAGCTATGCCATGACCACGATTCCCAACTACACACCTGAGTAGGACTTGCCATTATGTTCCACTGAACACACACAGATTGGGAGTGGGGCTCTTAGCCACACACAGGTGGGCAGCGGAGTCACCTGCCGCAATCCTGCAACCTTCCACATGTTGATCAAATGAGCCCCATCGGCATGACACATAAGCCAATCCTTGGCTTCGCAAGATCATGCTCATAGCCACTTTGCTCCTCTCTCGTAATTTTCTGAGCTACGCTTTGGCTTAGGTTTGGCTTACCATGTCAGCCCAACTCTCAGTGAAGCATTCTTTTAACTTACCACAAGCTGTAACCATGGTTTGTTCTTGGCTCAGCTCAGCACAGCAGTCAAAAGGAACAGAGAGGAGTGAAAGTGGATATGAGCTGTTACCTGTAATCCGGAACGTTCAGGTGGCTTTGCGAAGGTGTATTTTGTATTACCGTGTCTTGCAAACCAGCTCAGTGTGTGGAGGGGGAACAAGACGACAGGAATTCAGACACCAGAAGGGAATTGAATCTACCGTTGTGAGTGACAGAAACCTGGGCATGATTTGGTTAAGAGAATCAAACTAAATCATGTACATATTTTAAAGAAAATTGGATATTAGCTTTTTTCTAATGCTCTTGAAAAGAAAGCACACTTCACTTGATAAATACGGTACACATTTTACTCTCACCGTTACAAATCTGCAGGAAAGAGTGAAGGAAACTCTCTTCAGCCTGTAAACATGACCATAAAATCTGTGTGGTCTAGAATATGCACTAAAATGGTTCTTTCCTGATTTGAACCTCATTATAAACAGCACCCACACGCACAGACACATGGAAGAGAGACTGAAAAGCATTTTAGGGTTGTGCATGAAAAAGCCATCATGCAAGAGAAAAAGGTCTGAAGAATAAATATAAGAGCCAAAAAGTGCAACAGCTTGCAAGTGGGAGTCAGATGCATTTTCTATTGCAAAACTGAGCAAAGCCCCCCAACTGCTAACGTCTTATTTGAAACGTGGAAGCCATTGTTCACAGCTGTTCCTGTAGCAGGAGCGATAGGCCACCACAATGAAGAAAGCAGGAGCAGGCAAGATGCTACCTGTTCCACCCACAACATCCCCTTTGAGCCATTTTTTATGCAACTTACCAGTTCAGCATGCCAATCACTTCAAAAAAAAAAAAAAGACCTAGATCTTTTACGGCTTTCTAGAAAAGGCTGAATACAGCGATTGCATATCTTTAAGCAAGTGTGTCTCCTTCCAAGAAAATGTGATTAGAATCAACGTTCTAGGCAGCTGGGGAAAGAGGCTACCATGTGAGTCATTCCCCTCCTTGTCCCTGTAGCCCACTCCAATCGCGTTGCTGAAATTCTTCCTTCCAAAAAGCCCCAATGTGCAACCTCCTGCCCATACCCACCAACCATCTTTTCACTAATAAGTAGGTGAACTTGGGTAATTTCTTCCATTTACATATATTCTGATTGGACAAGGTCCATTTTCTTTATGCATCTCTTTTGATTTCCATACCGTAAAGCCAGGAATGTTTTGGAAAAGGTTCTCTCCAGGTCTTAGAGCCAATATTTTAAACAATCATCATTATGCTTTTAATACACACACCCTCTAAAGAAAAGCTCTGAATACTTTCTGCTGCCTTTGCAAGAGGAAATGCATAACACATTGTCCCTTCATACTGGCTCTAGAAAATGGTCATATACCTGAAGACAAACTCCTTCCCACCAAATTTTGAAAGCTTTCCCTCACATGAACTCACCTGGACCCTGCAATCGCCATCTAAGGCCTTTCTCCACTTGCCCCCTCCACAGGTCATCTGGAGGGTGGCAACATGAGAACGAGCCTTTTTAGTGGTGGCTCCTTACTTTGGGAATGTTCTCCCCAGGAAGGCTCACCTGATACCCTCTTTGTCTAGTTTTATGCACCAGGCAAACCCTTTCCTTCTTATCTGGGATTTTGGCCCTTAGTTTGAGGGATTAAGAATGTGTGGCCTCTTCAGACCTGTGCTCCATCACAGACAGTTGGAGCAACAGTGTAGCCATGCCAATTCCTACTTTCTTAAACCCCCTGGTTTGACGCAGGGCACACAAGCACCTGATGGCTTCTCCTGACAGGTAGATCCAGCTGCTCCCATCGCTTCAAGTCCCTCCTTGAGCGTGGAGGGGATTCCAAAGGCTCTTTAACTTCTGAGACCCACCCGCCAGCTCTTTTCCCGCCGCCTCCTTGTCTCTGACAGTCCAGTCACTTCCCCCTGACTCCCTTCTACCTCCATCCCTGGCAGCCCCCTCAAGGGCAGCACAGAGCCCCACAAATCACTGGCCCCTCCCCCTGGATCATCCTCCCCGTCATCTGCCTCTCCCAATCCCCCTGCTCGTCCCTGACATCATGTTAAGCCCAAGACCTGTTCTTACATTGAAGGCATTCAAAAGAACGTTCACCATAAGGAATACCAAAATCTGGCATGACGAACACTTATTTTATTCATTTCCAAGACAAAGCTTCATTTTAGTATGGAGATTTGCCTTTAATGCAGTGCAGCAGAGCAAAAAAAAGTATGCTGCATTTATTTCTTTATTTTACAAGAAAGAAAGTAAGATATGTATTAGTCCAGCTAAATGAGTGGCCTCTGGAATAAAGATGGGAGTAAAGCTGGTCATTTAACAAAACCCAGTTACCTATCATAGGTTAAAGAATTGTGGTAGACAGAGAGGTCACAAACTAAAGGGTTGCGTTCCACACACAACTGTTACTGCATTTATAAAGCAGATCTAAAACAGCAAGTAGTTCTAAGGTATCCAGTAATGAGCTTTTGCAACAGGGCTTCTACACAAAGCTACTTGGAGCCAATCTATGTTCATTTGCAGCCAATGTCTTCTCCTCAAGCTCACAAGTTCCTAACATCGTTCAGAGGCTATTTTGACCTGAAAGAGAAGAGAGCAGTGTATTAATCTTACCCATAGTTTGCTGTCATGATAAAAGGCTCCTAGCAGCTTTACAATGTAAGGGTGGTCACAAGTTGCCAGGATCTCAATCTCCACCGTGTAGTCCTCCAGCTCATCTTCACTCTTGGTCTCAATGACTTTGGCAGCAGCTAAGGCACCTGTCTCTCTGTTTTTGGCCTGTATCATAAAAGTAAAGGAAACAGTGTAAGAAAGAATTGCCAACAGCAAAAAGATAGTGACCATGTTCACACCTGACACCAAACCATGGTTTTCAACCAAGTTCATGAGCAAATCAATGGGCATATACACGCAGACCTCTCCTCCCATGAGCCAGGAGAAGGACTTTTGCTCTCTCTTAATCTCACGTTCTTGTGTAGCATGAGGCAGAGATCATGGTTTTGACCAGATATACTGATGGTGAGCTTTAGGGACGCGGGTGGCGCTGTGGGTAAAAGCCTCAGCGCCTAGGGCTTGCCGATTGAAAGGTCGACAGTTCGAATCCCCGCGGCGGGGTGCGCTCCCGCTGCTCGGTCCCAGCGCCTGCCAACCTAGCAGTTCGAAAGCACCCCCGGGTGCAAGTAGATAAATAGGGATCGCTTACTAGCAGGAAGGTAAACAGCGTTTCCGTGTGCAGCTCTGGCTCGCCAGAGCAGCGATGTCACGCTGGCCACGTGACCCGGAAGTGTCTCCGGACAGCTCTGGCCCCCGGCCTCTAGAGTGAGATGGGCGCACAACCCTAGAGTATGTCAAGACTGGCCCGTACAGGCAGGGGTACCTTTACCTTTACCTTTACTGATGGATAGCTCAGTCAGTAGAGCAGGAGACTTTTAATTGCAGGGTTGTGGGTTCAAGCCCCACATTGGGCAAAAGATTCCAGCATTGCAGGTGGTTGGACTATATGACCCTTGTGGTCCCTTCCAACTCTGCAATTCTAGGAACCTATGATTAAAGCCAAGATTAAAGCAAAGCAAAACACAGCTCCGCAGAAGTCTTCCTCCTGGCCATGTGGAAAGAGAAGACGAGAACACATACAAACATGTTAACTCCAACTCATGCACACAGCACTAAACCATGGTTTAGTGTTACATGAGAACCAGGCTACTGGCACAGCAGTTGCACAACTGTGAGCCCTGTACAGGGTACTATTTCTTTACAGTTGGCAGTACAATTTGTGCTATTGGGTGTTAAGAGTTATGTGCCAAGTAAAACGATGTACCAATAGTCTATCAACATGTTAAAATGAAATAATGAATATGGATGCTACCCAAGATAAGGTGAAGTATTAAAACAATAAATTTCTAAACCATCCCCTCTTAAACATGCACAACTTCAGACAAAATGCTGAAGAAAGGCAACTAGAAATGGGGGCAGGTGAGCTCAAACCCAGCCCCCCAACAGGTAGGCCTTTAGTGCCTTACCCTCCTGAACTAATAGCACCCTGGTTTGACAGCAATGTAAGCAGATTAAACTCTGTGGGTCAAGGGTGCCCCTCTAGACTTCAGTTCTGGCCTGAATACAGTCGTCTGGCGCCATAAGCCAGTCAAGTTCCACCTAGTCCTTTAAAGCCTTAGCAGCTCTTCATCCACTGAGGAATGGCAATTGCATATGTCACAGCCCCAGGTGGTGGAGCTTCAGAAATCTGCTGGTGGAATTCTCTGAACTCCCAGCTCATCGTATGTTAGGTCAGCGGTCTTTGCCCACCTGCCAACTCTTCTTTACACAATGCAGAGGCGACCACAGGCAAGAGAATGACTATAAGCAGGGTTTGCCAGACCCGGGATATTTAGCACAAGATTTCCTAAGGAAAATAATGGCATATTCTCTCTCTCTCTCTCTCACCACCCCAGATCAACAGCTAAAATTAGTAGTAGCCTTATTAGGTAACCAATCTGTGTAAATGCAGGGCAGTACCATACATCCAGATCACTATCTAGTACTCAGTACACAATAAATTCTCCAGATGGAGGGGCATATAAAACTTTGCCTGTCCATAGACAGGACCTTCCAGGCAGAATCTTGCACAAGGCACTCATCAGATGGCATGTGTGTGTGTTATGTTTCTACTAGAGGGAACACTGAGGCCAGTTTTTATCTACATTATTGCTTTCTCTTTTTAGGTCTCTGTTTAGAAAGCCTGTGGAGAGTTTACAAAGGGATTAGTTCCCAACATAAACACTCAAGGTGTGCTTGAGTCAGGCACATGCTATTGACGGTGGTAACACAGCTGCGGTCTGGATGACGACATTTTGGAGACTGGTGCTGAGAGTGTGTCCCTTTGCTGGGTGTTGCATGCACATTATTTGCACAGTCCTTTTCTTTCCAGGAGAAAGAGAGATGGCCTATTCCCCTCTCCCTCTTCTTCCATCATTCTTATATGGCTCTTTACAGGAGTGTCATGAACACCCGGAAAAAAGCAGGATAAGAAGTACTTGTAAGTATGCCCGGTTTTCCCTTTTAGAACTTGAAACAGAAGGGTCACTGCTCAGCCACTGCAGGAAAAACTGCAGTCTGTTGCTGGAATTCTTTTCTGGGGTCCTTTCTTATTGGGCTTTATTCAAAATCAGAGGACCTCAGACTTTTACATCCCTGCTAGTGACTGACACTCAGTCATCCTAAAAACCCACACAGTCCAGAAGCATCTATATTTGAAGATGTGAGACCCGTGTGATGAACCCCCAGAATTTGATGTAGACCAATCAGCGCCACCTATAGGATCTGTGATTTGGAACCGCTGTGGAGAAGTTCTGAAGAAGCCAATATTCTGACTTTTATTTCCAATACACCTTCCCAATTTAACCCTTTATTAACAGTCGTCACCACTGGCTAGTTCTTCTGCAATGGGAGTTCAGAAGCACAGGAAGGTGGAACTGAGCTCTAAGTGAATTCTTCACTGACCACTTGCGTCAAGAGACAGATTTTCCTTTGTCACTGCTACACATGATACTTTGTCTAATGAAAGAGCTCAGCTTTCACTGGTCTCAAATTCCCCCCCCCCCAAATGTGAGGCATTTCCCTGTCTCCTTCAGAATTATGCTGATCAGGAGACCCATTACAAAAAATGGATGCTTTCTCAGGCAATCTTCTCTGGAACTCTGCACAATCTCTGAAACCCAAGACTCTATTCAAGCACGCAAAAAGTAACAAGCTAAGTGAAAACAATTTTGCCTTCCTTTCCCCTTCCTAGTCCCCCTCCCCTCCAAATAAGCTTTCTTCATATATGTTAACATTTGGTTTAATTGATTAAAAAGTTCTCTCTCTGGAAGTTCTTTCTGGAATCCTCATGTGCTAAGACCTAATCGTTCTTAAGCTAGCCCTTGTCTTTCCAAGGAGAGTCCACAAGGTTCAGTACAATTTGGAGCCCTCTAGTACAGTAAAATTACAGAACTTTTCTTCTTTATCCTCACAAGAATTGGGCTGGACAGAAGAACTTTATTCTATAGGACTTAGAAACCCCCACAAGCTGCTTGGCAGTCTAGGGCAGGGGTAGAGAACCTCAGGACCAGGGGCCAAATGTGGCCCTTGGTATTCTCCCAAAGTCAGGCTCCCTCTCCTCAGGCCATACACCTCACCAGCCCTGCTTCAAACACCAAGTATTTTTGCCTGGCAGAATTGAAGAAGAAGAAGAGTTTGGATTTGATATCCCGCCTTTCACTCCCTTTAAGGAGTCTCAAAGCGGCTAACATTCTCCTTTCCCTTCCTCCCCCACAACAAACACTGTGAGGTGAGTGGGGCTGAGAGACTTCAGAGAAGTGTGACTAGCCCAAGGTCACCCAGCAGCTGCATGTGGAGGAGCAGAGACGCGAACCCGGTTCCCCAGATTACGAGTCTACCGCTCTTAACCACTACACCACACTGTATCCTTGAACTCAGATACTTCTTGCTTGTCTGGATGGAGGCATAGATGACTGTGTGTAAAAACTGCCTTTTTGTATGAAGGTAACATTTTATGTTTGTTGCTCTGGCCACTTTTGCCTCTGGTCCCGCCCACCCCTGGGCCTTGGTCCTCGGAAGGTAGCCTAGAAGATAATATGGGCCTTGGACTGGTCTAGGGTTTGTCAGCAGGCTCAGTCTAAGCAGTCAATCATATTTTTTTTCTTGGAGAGGGGAGGACCCTTACGAAAAGGGAAACTGCCGGTAAGAGAAAGCCTCCCCACCCCCAGGTTCTTCATACCTGCAACAAAATGTTGTCGAGTGGAGTGCTCCTGTACAGGATTCCAGCTAGCCAGCCACAACACAACACTCCATTTCATTTTCCATGCCTCCCAGTTTCCCACCCCATACATCCCCTGCAAACAAGCCCCTTAATTTCCCCTTCTACCCACCCAAAGATTTGTGTTTATCTGCCAAACATGGAATTCCCCTTCCAGCTGAGCCTGCTGATACTTCCCTCTGCTGTGTGGGTGGTGCTGTCTTGGATCCATAAGGATCTACACACTTGGAGAATGAGTTCGCTGCAAGAGCCATGGATAATAATGATGATGATGATGATGATGATCAGATAGTGGATGCAAACAGTTATGAGGCAGGGCATTAGGCCGGCTTGTGAGGGTGGGGCATTTCGCCACAAACTGCTGAAGAGAAATGCAGGCACCACCCACTCCTCTCAGGACCGCTGCTAGAATTCAAGAGCCGACTGTTATTAACAGAGGTTTCGCTTGTGAGGAACTGCAAGCCCCTTGCAAGAGCCCTGCCTTTCCTTCCGTGGTTTACACAGCTTGTTTTTAGAGGAGAGCTACGAGAAGAAGCTTCCTTTTCAATTAAGCTTCTTGGAAGGCATCCGCAGTGTAGCAAATTCCTCCAGCTCTGGACTCACACTCGAGGTGTGTGGGAAAGGAAGCCTATGCTGTGCGATAGCTGCACTGGACAGAACAAAAAGAGACAGTTTGTGTCTGTTTCCTTATAAGAACATACTAAGAGCTTTGCTGGATCAGGCCTTTGGCCCATCTGGTCCAGCATCCTGCTCTCACAGTGTCCAACCAGGTGTCTGTGGGAAGCCTGCAAGCTGGACATGAGCGCAGGAGAACACCCTCCTCTTGCAGTTTCCAGCAACTGGTATTCAGAAGCATTCCTGCCTCTCTGACTGTGGAGACAGAGCAGAGCCATTGCAGCTATTAGCCATTGTTAGCTGCCTTCTCAGTGAATTTGTCTAACTCTCTTTTCAAGCCATCCAAGTCGGT